GTGGCTGATGCGGAAGCGGATCGGTCGCTGAGATCACACGGCAGCTGAATGGGCAGCATCAGCTGAGCCGCCGGCCGCAAGGCTGGCACTCGGCACTGAGTTGTGTGATACTAGCTGATGCTCTTGCACATGTTGAGTTGTGTGTATCTGAGTTTTGTCAGCAGGCTCTGCTCGGTGCTTGGGAAGGTCGTTGGTCCGCTGGTGATTGTTCACCGCACGCAGTGGCATCAGCACACACCGAACCATACCTAAGCCCACTGCTGGCTGAGGGCTGCAGCCGTCAGTTCGCCCTGCAACCCTTACGACCTGCACTTGCATTTGGCGGCGGTAAATCAAAGCGTGCAGCATAAAGCAGTTCAAACGGGCTCAACACCATTATGGTAGAGCGCCAACTACGTGTGCATGAAAACCTTGTTTTGGGGGGCTATCCTGTGCCAGCACCCAAATACTGTCAGTGTCAACTCAGGCAATGTTTGGCAATCAGTTCAAGCAGCGTTGGTGGCGTTTTCACGCGCAAGAGGCACCTTTGCCTCAGCCCTGGGGGTTTGCAGAAATCGCGGGGGACACTGTTGGGCCCATGGCTGCCACACTTTGGGGCCCGGGCGCAGCGGCTGTTTCTTGCGGCTGCACAGGGTGCCCGCGCGCCCGCGCCTGCCTACCGCCGGCTGTGTGTCCGCCGCTCGGGCCCAGGGATCGCCGGCGCAGCGCCAAGGTAAGGTTCAGGGATGGCTCTTGTGGGGGCCGATGTCTGGGTGCAGTGGGGGGCCCTCAGCCGCCTCCATTGACAGCGGCTCCGCCTGTTTGGGACCGACGGTGCGCTCAGCATCGATTCCGACAGCAACACGCTCGATGACTTCACCGGAACCATGCCTTTGCTGCACACTCTACTCTTCCGCCCAGAATCCATGCTGTGCTCAACAGCAGGCTGCAGGCACGGACCGAGGGACGCGGTCGCGCTCTCGGCCTGCCGAATCTGACCTGCATTCTGGGAACGCGCTCCGATCCTACGCTGACAGATGTGACACGAGGGCACATTCAACCTAGAATCTTCATGCCTCCAATATCCTCCTTTGCGCCCCATCCGCGCTGCTGTCTGATAAGCGCTGAGTGGGTGGGGGCCGCATTGGGCTTCAAGGGCGTGATGCGCGCGCTGCTGGACCGCAGCGCGGCAGTGGATGCGGCGAGTGCAACTGGCACCGCGGGGCGTGCTGTCCTCCAGGCGGGTGAGCAGGCCCAGCCCGCACCGTCACACCGAGCGGCGCGCGAGCTGTGAGCCGCGCCGTCGGCGACGGGGTGAGCGGTGTGCTGGTGCGGTTCGCACACGGCGGCCTATGCAGGGCACAAAGCCGACGTGGGCCTGCTGCTGGATCGCGGCGACGCGCTCGGCGCGGCAGCCAGCAATGGTGCTACGGCTCTGCACCGCGCGACACGGGCGGGGTCATCCGCAGGGACCTGGGCACAGCGCAAGTCAAGGTGCGCGCACTGCGCCTGCCAGTCCGCCCTTTCTGTGTGCAGCCGCCCCACGTTGGCGAGAGTCTACTCGTATTTGATAGCACAACCCGGCATCGCCGTGCTGTTTTTGGCCCTGGGCCGAGGTGATTTACGGCTGGCCACTCGGTCGCCCTCCGAGTGTGAACACAGACAAACAAGTATCTGGCGCACTGAAACAGATGTGTTATCATATCAATCGGCTACCTTGATTAATTCGACAATTAGACAGGCACATTCAGGCCCAGAGGTACTGGCGTATGCTGCCGCCGCAGTATCCTTCGCACACTGATGAGTACCATTCACAGCAGGCTCGCACTTGCGTCCGGAGCGCGCGGCGCGTGTGCCAGCGCACGCTATCTCTGCCGTAATTTCTGTTGAAGGAGCTTACATTGCATAGGTTATTGCCACTTCCCGCTCTGCCATTGTCACCATTCAGTCTGCCGTGTGTACCGAGCTGCCGCCGGCAGCCCCTCCCACGCCATGGCGGCTGCGGCGTGGTTCCTGATTTGTGCTGTGCAAGCAGCGTATCTTGTGTCCAGCTGCACAGCGGCCACACCACCTAGCCAAGTGGAGCAGGTGGTCACGTTTGCGCGCACGGCTGCCGAGCGCTCAATTGGGGATGCTGAAGCGCTCCTTGCAGCCGTCAAGTCCGGAGATGCAGCCGCCGCAAAGGCCGCCTACGTCAAGCTACGCCCCGCCTACGAGCAGATTGAGCATCTCTATGCGGTGCTTGGTGATACAGACAGGTGCGTGTGCATTGATGTCTTGGGGTTCAGGCACATGTGTTGCTCCATTGTGCCTAGTGAGGACCTACCACCCATGGTGCCACGTTGCGTTCTGCTCTGAAGCTCCCCTGGTGTCCCTCAATGTGACATGAGGCGACCCCACAGGTCCCGCTGATGCGTAATTGCAAACACTCTCCACGCAGGGACATTGACGCGCGCCCCGATGTCTATCCATACGGAGAGGCATACGTCCCATCCCAGATTGGAACCCCAGGTTCAATCTTCAAGGTGAGACGGCGGCAGCACGGGCAGCTTGATGCACAGCCAGCGAATGCAAGTGAAACTGCTACTCTGTTACTGGCTAGCTGAGTGCTTTGCGGTGCCGATTTGAGAAAGCAATAAACAGCGGCGCTGAGGATGCACGCCTGTGCGAAGCAAGTGGCATGCTGACTTACACCACGTGAAGCTCTCTAGATTGGCTATGGATGGGGTCAGAGCTTGCGCGCATGCACCGCCTCCCTGTAGGGAGAAAAGGCAAGGCGTTGGCATTTTGCGTCGCCTTGAGGCATGCATCCCTGTACATTGTGCCTCCAGAACAACCACGCAACTTACTCTCAGCTGCACGAGCACATACGTGCATGCATACAGGCGTGTGTGGGCGAGCACACGCACGCACATGCGTGCACATATCCATCACAAGCAAGCCCCTCGTGCTTTTTCCAATCCCCCTCCACCGCACCCTCAACCCGCAACCCAGCACACCCTGCAACCACGTCCACATACATGCATCGCTGTCACATGCACGCAGGGTAGCCACCGCATTGAGACGCTTCTCTACCGTGACAACAACATCACCGCCGCAGTGCCCTGGGCGGAACAGCTTGTTGCAGACTACAAAGCACTTGTGGGCAAGCTCAAGAGCCCGTCAGAGTACTCGGCGCCGCAGATTTTTGCAGGCATCATTGAAGTGGCACGAGAGGTCGCCAAGAAGAAGATCAGCAGTGAGGAGGAGACGTGGAGCGACCAGTCGGTGCTGATCTTTTACAACAACCTGCAGGTGTGCACCTGTTGACTTGCCAATAGGGTGTTAAAAGCAGCAAAGCTCGACTTTGCACGGTTTGTAGTGGTCTGTTTGCAGTCCAATAATCCAGGCCAGTTGCATGTTGCCCAAACCTTGCTGTATGCCTCAGCTCATAGCCACTCCGTTTTCCCAACCAGTCTCGCACTCACACGTGGCCGGCTGACGCGAGTGCCGGTGCTGCTTCCCTTCATCCACTGTCACACCTTCAGGGGATCTCAGAGATGTTCAAGCCTTGGAGCGCAGACCTGGCGCAAGCGAACGCCACCCTCGCCAACCAAACCGATGCTGCCATACAGCAAGCACGTGCGACGCTTCTGCCGTACCTCCGCCCTGGAGCCAACGGCAGCCTCACCTACGCACCATACTCCGCCGTGCCTGTTGCTGTGCGGCGCAAGATCCAGACTTCGTTTTACGACGTCGCCGAAAGCCTCGAGCAGGTGTGCAGTGCGGCAACACAGTCCAGCCAACTGGGCCAAACTCGCTCGGCTCATGCAGTCTGCTTGCATGCGGGCATATGACTGCAGACGTGGCAGCCGCCCTCGCTGCCCTTGGCTGGTGGCACGGGGCCAACAGAGCTGCTGGGGTTGCGTGGACGGCGACGCTGGCACTGCCGTTTTGTTTTGCCACAAGGGCGTGATGCCTGGAGCATACAGAGGTCATGGCTGTCCAGCAGGCGGGGGTGCCTCTTGCTAGCATGCACGCTCCCATCACAGGCTTCTCTAATCATCTCCTGGATGATTGTAGTCTTGTGCGTATTCGTCCATCCGTCTGTGTTCAATACACGTGTGAATTCGGGTCCACGTATCCAGCGACGTTCTCTCCCAATACGCAGGCAGCCAAGGCGCTGAACATCACACTGCCAACGGGCCCCGCCGCAGAAGGAGAAGCCGAGGCGATTACGGCAGCGCCACAAGGCCTGACACTCCCTCCAGAGGAGGTCTGCACGCCGACCGTGAACGCGACGCTTTATACCACCGAGGCTCCCGAAATCCAGGCCGGCCTGCAGTACTTCCGCTCCCTGCTGCCGTACCAGATTGCAGCTTCTCAGGCCATGACCAAGGCCATTTCCAGCGGAGACGTGGCAGCTGCAAAGGCCTTGTACGCCGCAACCCGGCCCATTTATGAGCAAATTGAGGTGAGGGCCGCGAGAGGGCTTGTGACTCCACCGCAGTGGGGCAATCAAGGCGGCTGCCTGCTCGTGCTTTGGCTGAGCCCCTGGCTTGAAGTTGTGTGACTATTGTAGGTGGTGGTCAAACATTCCTCTTTTCAACCAATGCACCCTCCCCCCACCTTCTTACCCCTTGTCAACCCCTGCATGCCAGGTGCTTGCTCCCAGCTTCCCTTACATTGATGCCGCCTTGGATGCCCGCGAGTACGCATTTCCTGAGGGCGAGCGCTCCAAAACGTTCATGGGCTTCCACCGTCTTGAGCGCATGGTCATAGGGTGAGCTCTGGGTTGCAAGCGGCGTCAAATGAAGTGCAATACTGCCCGTCTCCTGGCTGGGTTGATCCTGCGTAAGCATTTCATGAGGTGTGACATGCCTTACATCATGGATCCCTAAGCCACGCGGTTTTGAAAATGGCATGCTGCTGTGTCGCACAATGCCTGCCACCCACAGGGATGGCGACGTCGGCCCTGCTGCATTGGAGTATGCCAAGGCCGTCGAGGAGTACCTGCGCTTGCTCGATGCGGCCCTGGGTGACACGACGCCCGAGCGTTTCACCTCCGCGACTGCCTTTGAGGGCATGCTCAACCTGGCAAACGAGGTCCCGGCCAAAAAGATCAGCAGTGAGGAAGAAACCACCAGCGACTTGTCCCAGATGATCTTTTACAACAACTGGAAAGGCATCCTTTCCCAGGTGAGGCTTGTGTGCGATATGCTGCAGGACGGGCGTGATAAAGGGTGGTTGATGGGATTGGTGCACACACGATTCACAAGCAGATGCATGACTTCTGCACTGCCTTGCAACATTTGCATGATTTCCGCACTGAAAATGCAGGCCCAGCCCTTCTGTCCAAGGGCTCAAGCTCAGTGCGAGGCGCTCCAGGAGGCTGTGAAGGCGGCTGCCGAGTGCCTGGACATTGACACCAAGGTGCGGCGACGCGCACTGCACACTGTGCGTTGCAGGCTTGGCGACGCAGCCATACATTGCATGCATGCCCCTGCTCTGTCTTCTGTATGGCAAGTGCGAAGGCCGTCGCTGTCTGCAGGCTGAAAGCGCCATGCACATGGTGAAGAGCAGCGAGCCAACTGCCATCTCCTCCTCTCGGGTCGCGCGGAGGGTTGGCTTTGTCCCATCACAAGTCCCCACCAAGAATGACGCCGTTGCATCTGAGCATTGTGCCACACACATCCCTGCTGTATGCGGTGGCTGGGACGACCCCCGCAGGACACCATCGGCAACGTCAATGCGTCCGACGTCAACGCTGCGTTCGCCTCCAACCTGCTCTCCGCCGACTACAAGCGCTACAGCAACACAACGGTGGCGCAGCGGCGCTGCATCGTGCAGCGCGGGTATGCCGTACGCGACAAGCTCGCGGCTTTTGCCAGCGCCCTGGGCGTTCTTGATGACTGCTCTCCATACTACGAGCCCGTGTTTGTGACTTACCCCTTCCGCCTGCAGGTGGCACCCCCCACCCCCACCAAACCCGCCACGGCCCAAGCGGCAGCCCCGGCCCCCGCTCCTGTCACCAGCAGCGGCGGCTGCCAGTCCATGGCAGCTGCGGCAAGTGTTGGCCTGGCAATGGCAGTGGGCGTTGTGCTCGGACTGCTATGAGTGGTTGAAAGGGGCGGCACTTGCTGCATGCTAATGCGTGTGGGCAGTCAACTGGCGGTGCATGGGGTGGATTGGTAGCGGTTGCTGCTACTCGCTTTGGCAAATGCGTTGTGATGACATGCAATTTCATCCTGCACTGCTCTGCTCCACGTGAACGGCGAGTGCGGTGGGCCGGGCCGGCCCCTGCTGTTGGCTGCAAATGTTGGTGGTGCGCGCCAGTTGCGATTGTCGTCTGCGTGCACGTAAGACATGTAAATGTGTGACACAGCTGACACAGTCACAATGCTGCTTTCCAAAGGAGATGACTGTGGCTGATGTGAGGGCTACTGTAAGTCCTCACCAGCTCTACTGCTTCATTCTGCAGCATACCCCAGCTCGTGCTGGTGTGCCGTTCCAATCCAATCAAAGCGCGTTATCAGCTAAACAAAGCAGTATGACCAGCCTGCATGCCAGCTACACGAGTTGCATGCCGCCAGTACGGCGTGCCAGGCGCCGCCTCTGCTACTGGCTGTGTGCTGCAGCCGTGATTACTCCCTGCAACTGTCAACTAAATTGCAATTTGTTTGGCGGTGGTGAATCAAAGCATGTAGCAGTTTAAACCGCCTCGACACCAGTTTGACAGCATCAATTGTGTGTGCAGTGAAACCCGATTTTTGGGCCATCATGTTGCCAGCACCAAAATGTCGTCAGTGCCACCTCACGCATTGTTGGGCATTTCAATTGAGGCATGCATTGCTAGCGTTTACGTGCGCAGAAGCACCTTTGTCTCAGCTCTGTGGGGTCGAGGTTGAAGGGCACCGCCGCACACCTGAAGATGCGTAAGAAGGGGCAGGCAGGCAGCACTGCTGTAAGAGATGGTCGCACATCGCCCTGGTTGCTGATGATTGGGCCACAGATGGGGCACAGTTCAGCACGACACAGCTGCGCACCTCCAGGCACGGCTGTGAAACACGGGTGCACGCCCCAGCAGGGCGCCGCTGAGGGCAGTCGGTCTGCTGTCTTGGAGCCCTGCTCATGAGGCACAGCCCCAGCACAAGCGGTTCCTGTGCAAGCAGCGCCCCGGCCAGCCCCGCGCGAGCCCCCGCACCTTAGTGGCCGCCCTCCTTGTCACCGCCCTCCTTGTCACCGCCCTCCTTGTGGCCGCCCTCGTCCTTACCACCCTTCTTATGCCCGCCCTCCTTGTGACCCTCCTTCTTCCAGCCGCCCTCCTTGTGGTCCCCCTCCTTGCCGCGGCCGTCGTCGTGGCCATTGCGACCTTCATCCTCGTGATTGTCGTGGCCATCACCCTTGGACTCGTCGTGGCCGCCGTTCTTGGACTCAGCGTGGCCACCCTTCTTGTGCTCGCCCTCCTTGCGGGCGCCCTCCTTGTGGTCGCCGCCCTTGTCGCCGCCCTTTGGGCCGTCGCCGCCCTCCTTGCCGCCAAGCAGCTTGCGGGTGCCGTCTAGGGCCGAGGAGGAGGGGGAGTTGGGTGTCAGCGATGGAGGTTGGTAGGGGTGCTGCCAAGTGCACATTTTTGGCAATTGGATGGGGGCAATAGGATGCATGAGGGTGATAGCGGGCGGAGCTCGACCAAGGGACTGCGCTGCACTCCTGCAGTCGTCAGGTGTAGCAGCGGGCGGTCAAACCCAGTCAAATCATTCGTGTGGTCCACGCCCTTGGGAATCGCCCGGTCGTGAGGTGACTGCGAGCCGGCTTTGCAGCCGCGGCACAGCATGCATGCTGACACAAAACGGATTGCGGCAGAACGCCCAGCGCTCAACGCCGCCCCTCACCCCTGCGGCCGTCGATAGCAGAGACGCGGCCGTCCCTGCGGCCCTTGACCTCGGGGCCATTGCCGCCGTTGGCGTCTGCCCAGGGGCCGTCCTTGCCGGGCCAGTCCTGGGGGTCATGGGGATCCTCGGGGGTGGTGGGGGGCTTTGGGT